ACCTTTTAAAGATAAATCCCTCTAATGTATAACCACTGATTTAGTTTACTTTGTTTTTTTTTTTGCATAACTGGTGTAAAATTAGAGGAGCATATTAAATGGTTAAATGGTCTTCAGAGATCAAAAGACCTAAATTAGTAACTTTTGCCTAACAAGGGATAATGCAATTAACATTTGCTGGAAAACTTTAATTGCTGGTAATTTACATTTTTTATTCAAACATAAAGACATGATTTATGGAGGTACCATGTCTGATTTTTATTCCTTATATAATGGTGATGTCCTCGGCTAACTGGCTAATTATAAATTCTTTATTAGTTTTGCAGATTCCTTGTGCAGCACTATTGGTGACATGAGTTGCAAGAATCTGTGAAAAAGTTAGAATAAATACAGAGAGATGGGACATCCTTGGTGAATATCATTTTTAAGGTAAAATCTAGTGGAGGAGCCATTTGGCATTTTAATATTGCTATTGGATTATAATGTTTTAACAGCATTAAAAAGACAGGACCATAACAACATTTTTCGAAAGACTTAAAAATGAACTGATCTTCGATTTTTTCAAATGCCTTAATAAAAATCTAGGAAAATAATAAAACTATTATTAGGCACCTAATTAGAGTAATCAAGTAGAACTATATTCTGACGTTGTTAGAGATGCATCTGTTTCTTATAAACCCTGATTGTGTCTTATAACTGTATCCAAGACCTCATTATTTTTGCTAGCAAGTATTAAGACCACAATCTTATTATCATTATTGAGTAAATATTAAGGTCTCCAATTATCAAAAAAAGTGGTTCTTTGTTAGGTGTTTAAATGAGTGTTATTAGACTTTAGGTCAAAGTAGGAGGTAGAGTGTTTTTCTATCATGGGCCACAGATTATTACATCATTCTCTGTCCTCCTTGCACAGGTCCTCAGTGAATCTGTCAGTTATCCCTCAGGTAGGGTGGTACCTTGGCTGCTTTCCATCTGGCATCTCTAAGGACTCTGGGTGAACTGAATGATCCCTCTGGGTTTGGTGCTTCCTGGTCTTTTGGCTACAAGTCGGAGCATGACACAGCTTGTGTTTATGTTTTGGCAGAAATGACTGGCAAATTTCTATCACTTTTCTTCGGATGTCTTCTTTCTCTGACTCCTCAGCTACTTGCACTTTGAGATTCAACCTCATCAAGAGTCTCTCCAACTCAGTTAACCTGTGCTGGCTGTTTTTTCCCCTGACTTTCTTCTCATGTAACATTTTTTTTAAGGTCATTGACTTTCCCCTTCACATTGTTTATTTCAGCACATATAAAGTCAATAGTCTTTTTGAGACCCTCAGTTTTAAGTAGTATTCTGTTTCCCCATATCATCAAGGTTATCAGATCGGCTGCTGATCAGCGCAGACAGACTGGATATTATCTCATTTGTAGCAGATGGATCAGGGTTTCTACATGTTTTATTTAACCGATGCTGTATCATTTGGTGTGTTTGGATCCGGCGGCTGCATCCTTCGAAGGCCAGATTTGTCAGCCAATAATGCAGCATTGTGGCCTGTTCGGATTGGAAGACTCCTCCTTATACAGCCGACAAATGCATACTTCTTTTTGCTTGCTTTCAAGGAAAAAATCCCTCCTCAGCCAACCAACCATGGTGCGGTGCCGAAGCCTTGTCGGATTCAAAGACCCCTCCTTGTACAGCCAAAAAATGCATCCTCCTTTTTTCCCATTTTAAAGGACAGGTCTGGTGTCTCCTCCGTAGCCTTGGGGATCCCGATTCATTGCAAGTCCAAGCAAGCCGGCTGCTTCTTGCTCAGAGGAAAAAGGGAAATAGGGACGAACAGTGGTGACTATTGTGAGTGCAGTTCATTATAATACAAGTATGTGAATAGGTTTGTCTTGAATTGATGAAAATAGTTTTTTTTAATGGTTATATGTGGCGGGTAACGAATAGATGCCAAACTTCTTACAACTTTCCTGGGTGCAAATGACACTTTGAAGAGCTTCAACAGCAGGACCGTCATCGCAAATATCAGATTTATAGTCCACATACTACAGAGATATTGAAATCTGTGCTTAAAATTCAGTCAAACCCATTTGCACAGAGACAGATAAAACATTTCAACAAACCAAACGTTACCCGCCACATATCTGACTATTTAAAAACTATTTTCATTAATTTCAGACGGAACTATTCACATACTTGTATTATATTAAACTGTTCTCACAATATTCACCACTGTTCAGCGGCATTTCCCTTTTTCCTCTAAACACGGAGCAGTCAGCTTGCTTGGATTCGCAATGAATCGCATGATACCCAAGGACCCGACCAGTCCTTCAAAAAATGCCCCTGAATTAGTATTAGCATTGTTCCTTCTTCTTTTTCTTTGTTAAATATTAAATATTAAGATATGTTTTATGCACTTTTTGTAAATGCTTTTATCCATTATCTGTAATGGTACATGATTATATTTATAATGGTTAAATGAATGTATAAAGGGAAACAAAAATGTTGCTGTTCTTCCTCTTCAGATTTAATGGCAGTTGGCAAGCAACAGTTTGGTGCAGTACCACCACCTACCAGTAAAGAGTGTGAACCAGGAATTACAAGCTAAAAAAATACAAACCTCTACACTCTTTTTCCCAAAAGAGTAACCAACAAGCAACGAAAAAATATTTATAATCATATATCATATTTATAATCACTCATATCAAAATAACCTTTTTTTATGTTTATGTTAAATTGTTCCTTTTCCTGTTCAAGACTCCTTAATAATTATATTCGTTGCCTACAGATCTACACATCTTCCTGTTTCATCATTTCCCCTTATATGTAATGTTAGGTCCTGTGTTCCCCAACCTTAATCTAATTATCATTTCCTGAATTCTGTTTCTTCCTATTCTTCTTATATTCTCCCCAACCTTTCCTTGTGTTCTGTAAAAGAATCTTCCTTTAATATCCTCTTCCCACGATTTCTGTCATTTCTGTTTATCATTCTCACTCCGGTTTTTGGATTCTGTTACCTTTTTATCAGTCATTTTCCTTTTCCTTTAGCCCCTATATGTGCCAGAATCCAAAGAAAAACTATCAATAATACCATCATATGAAATGCATTAAACTATTTGTTGAATCTCTAATAATATATCAGGACGACTTTCTAAGAGATTTATTAGTAGGTTGATAAATTATTAATTTGAATGTAAGGAAATCACAGCTCTTAATGGTCTAATCTCCTAAATCCATTCTAATGTCAGCATTATTGCCATCATTAGTATACTATATATAGATAAGCCTTTATTTAGCTTCCTCCCTATATTGATTTTGAATTCTGCAACTACAAGTGCTATCCCCGTTTGACCAGATTAATTCTGGGAGGCATCTGTATAAATTTAAGTA